TGACACGTGGATGAATCTTTAAAAATTGTATCTCTAAATCCCTGTCTGTGAACTTTTTCTCTCACAGTTGATGCTCTAACACTTGAATCATACCTCCAATCTTTGTACCTGTATGTGTTTATGTATGTGTGTGTGTGTCTGTCTGTCTGTCTGTCTGTCCTATGGTTTGAACTCAGGGCTGGGTGCTGTCCCTAAGGTTTTTTGCACAGGACTTTACCACTTGAGCCACATCTCTATCTTGGGCTTTTTGGTGGTAAATTGGACTTAAGAGTCTTATAGACTTTCCTACCCAACCTGGCTTTGAACCTCTATCTTCAGATCTCCTGAGTAGCTAAAATTACAATTGTGAGCCACTGGCACCTGGCTAGTCCTTGTATGTTTTTGAGGGTTTTTTTTGTTGTTGTTTGTTTTTTTGCCAGTCCTAGGGCTTAAACTTAGAGCCTCGGCACTGTCCCCAAGCTTCTTTTGCTTAAGGTTAGCACTCTACTGCTTGAGTTACAGCATCACTTCCAGCCTTTTCTGTTTATGTGATACTAAGGAATCGAACCCAGGGTTTCATGCATATTAGGCAAGCATTCTACCACTAAGCCATATACCCAGCCTCCTAGTCTTTGTACTCTTAAAGGCTATTTTCCCCAACTTTCCATAAGGAGAAAAAGCTTATTTTCTTAAAACACTGAAGACTACACATTTATAATTAGTTAACTCCTTATTCTCAATGCACAATCCCTTTTGGAAGGGACGAAGTTTTATCTTTTGTAACCAGGTACTCCCAAATTATTAAATGATGAATTCTTTGAGAGAGATCTGTCCTTAAGAGATGGTTATTCCCACAGTTAGGACTGGGGGCAACTTTTAGTACTTGCTATCATTAATTCATATTACTGCTCCCAAATATTCTTACAATTTAAGAGGAATTTTTTTTCTGCCAATGAGAGCTCTTGAGCTCCAAAGAGAAACACGGCCTATACAAGTATACTTTTACACTCTCTCTTTCTGCTTTAATTTGTCCATTAATGAACACATGATTTAGAAAAGATCCTCAGTAATGCATTCAATCTCAACCGTCTCTCCTTCAGCTCTCCAGAAGGTAAACATTGTCTTCCTGAAATCAATCAGGTGGTACCAATCAAGTCCAATGTTGGGTGGACTTTTCTCCATTATGATTGTCCCTACAAATCCCACACAACTCAGAAAGGAAAAATAGCTTTTCTTCTTTCCTCTCCTGATTCAAAAAATAATGACCATGGATCCTTGGACCACGAATCATTCATTAATTGTTATTTGTCATAGGATTCTTGGGACATTTATTAATTGTTATTTGTCATAGGATTCTTGGGACACTCTTGAAAAAACAATTCCAGGTGGACTGCACTGATAGCACAGAGCTGCCAAAGGGTGGGAAAATTGGCCACTGCCTGGTATACAACACACTGATACATTAAAGAAAAAAACAAGGAAAACAGTAATGGGAAGGAGAGGAGTCATGGTGAGATTGAGCATCACAGACATCCGACAACAGGACAGTAACTAACCAAAACTACCCACTGAACTTTGAAAGGACCTTCTGCATTTATGCCTAGACCACAATATAAGGCTGCTCCCAGCAACTACTAACCAGGGTGGCAATGCAGGTCTCCTGACATCCTGTTCCATCAATACTGCTCCCTCTCATTCCCTCTGTCTGCTCAGACTTGTGTGACCTCTTCTCTCCCACGCCACCCACTTCTCTCTCCCCCAACATTGTAATGTTTACTTGCGTACTCCTACCTTGGCATTGTTTTCTCACCTAATATATCTGAAATATAAACTTGTGCTTTCTGAAACTACCAACTTTTAAACAGCTCCTCAGAAAATGGGCAAACAAATAGGATGCTTGTGAAATAAACCCCAGATAGTGTTCTTGCTTCTCTACTCCCTTCTTCCCTTTCTTGAAAAAGATACTAATAAAGTAAAATTAAGCTTTTAAGTAGTTGTATCAAATTAGCAACTCTCAATGTTAAAAATTTTCCTTTAATTACAAATTCATCCTGTTCTAATAAGAGAGCAGAAAATTAGAAAATCTTACAGATCAGAGACAGGCACATAAGTGCATTAGTGGAGCCACATATGTGCTGGTCTCTGATTCAACTAGAAGCTCCCTCTCTCATTCATATTTTTTGCCAAGTACTAATATCTGGTGACTGGAGGCAGGAAATGAAATCAATGATGTTTACTATAGTGAGGTATAGAGCTTAAAGTACAAAAGTGAGTCTAAGACCTTCTTAATTATATGGGAAAATAAAATATGTTGTTTTCATTGTGCAAGCTGTAAAAAATAAACTTCAGTTTCATTTTACAAACCATATAAAGCCCAACAAAACTTTCAGATACAGTGGAAGTAGGAAAAAGATAAAATGAGAAACACCATAGCAAGCTGATTTTGAAGAGGGGGAGGACTCTATATTAGTGATACTCTTTTTGGCTTAATCCAGGTAACCTGCCTCTAAGAATTGGCCACAATATAACATCTAGATTTAAGAGAACAAGTTACAGTTATCAGATAGATAACCATATACATGCAGATTATATGTTGGATATACATATGATAGATATATATAGTAGGTATTATATATCTTTTAAAACATAAATGTATAGATTTCCTTAAAACAATAAATTCAATACACACTAATTCAACCTTCATATTTAATAAACCCAACAATTGTAATTATATTTCTCCTTAATAAAGAAAAAACCCTTCACATATTTCCTACCATATCGTGTAAGAGTTTAAGACAAAATACTCATCAACTTAGATGGGACTAGAAAGTTGGCATTTGCTAAATAACTCCATGATTAGAAGCAGAAGGAGGAAGAGCCTGGGGGTTATAGTAGGAACATTACATAATTTCTGACTCCTTCATCACCACTTAATAAAATACTTTGCCAACTACTGACAAATGTAAGATTTTACTATAGCAATGAAAGCAAGTGTATAAATGGAGACCTCAAACAACGAAGTTTTAAGTAGCATTTCCCATAATAGATTAATATGTCTAAATTATACCTTGTCATTAGGGAAATTTTTTCCTGTGTATTAGTGAATTTAAAACCTAATTACTATTCCCTCACTGTTTATGAGCCTCACACTAATACTGGCTTCATTCCTGTACTCTTATGTACAGTCAGTAAATGTAAGGAAGTAGAGGAAATTTCCACAAATCTGCTCAGAAAAGGCAGAAGACATTTCTCTTTCTTCCTTTTTCATTGTGATCTCCGGAAACTACAGTAGGTAATGTGGTATTAAAGAACAAAGATATACCTAAACAATTTATGGCAATTCAAAAGGATTAATTCCAGGTCTTTCAACATGACAGTATAATGAAAATTTTACATAGAGTAGATTGTACACCGAACTGAAGTTAGCATTAAAGTAACACCTAGAAGTTTAACTTTTGTCCTATAAGCTTAGGAAAAAAATAAAGACATTGCTCTCCACATTTCAGATCATTAACACACCATTTGTTCTATAAGTCAACCAAATGACAGGTATGATAAAACATTTCACACTGAAGCCACAGTCAAAGGAACTAATCCTAAATAATTTAACATTATTATGAAAAAAATCCAGAAAAGCAAACAGTTTCAAGTAGTTAAACAGAAGTAATAAATACATGTAAACCATCAATTAAAGGTTAACAAAACAAACAGGCCTAGAATTTTAGAAAGTTTAACAAATTTAGTAGCAAGATAGAATAATATATAATTTCCAAAAGAAGACACTCTCAATTTAATGTAGAAAGAAATATAAATTCTAATAAAAGTGACCAGGTAGAAAGGATTATTTATTCCTTTTCTAAATAATTGTGGGGGGTTTATTTTTTGTAAGACATCAGGCATCATTTGAACTAATATAGAACTTTCCAAACAAGTGCTTTAAAATTTTTATTCTAAACAATTAATGGCAACCAAATGTATTAAAAGTAAGCAACTTTTCATGCTACAGTAATCCCATTTTTCCCTTCATCTGACAGATAGTGAAGCTCCTAGAACATAAATTAACATTGTTCTGGTGCTAAGCATATCCCATAAACAGGTAGGATTCACATCCCTGCTGCTGTGGAGATTGCTTTCTAAGTGAACAAATGCAAACAAGCAAGAAAGTGAATAAAAGCTGGTATGTGCTATTCCACCCTGCCATTGTCAACCTGCTATAATACTCTCCTTTGCTTCTGTGCTACAGGATATAGTTTAAATAAAACTGTAATATGATGAAGGTCTTTTGATATTTCAGATAAACTCTCCTGGCCAATTTTCAAGGTAAATCTGTCTGAAAAAGATTACAGTAACAGCAGCCAGAGATCACCCAATATTTTTACACATTTTAGTCTGCAAGCTACCTATATCCTGTGACACATATTCTCCTTCTTTTTAATTCTTTTAAAAATGTAAACTAACTTGGCAGGGGGAGGGTGTTGGGGGAAAGGAAAGTAGGAGAAAAATGAGGGAAGGGGGTAACAAGTTTGCAAGAAATGTACTTATTACCTTACATATGTAAATGTAACCCTCTGTCAATCACCTTGACAGTAAAAAGAAAATGTACAACTATTGTCATCTGATATGCCACAAAAAAAGAGGCCAGGGACTAAATTTATCTACAGTCACAATTTTGTCAACTCCTCACTAAAAACACCTCGATAAACTTGCCTTTCAGCACTATCAACTCTATATTTTATGCTTTGCTTCTTTTTAAGAAATTGATTCTCCTTTTTATTATTTTTCTGCCAAAATCTCATTCAGCCTTTTCTTTTCCTAGAGCTACTGTAGTTTCAAATATGGTAGTCTCAAGTCAGTTGTGAAGAACAGGGCCACCTGCTCTATTTCACAAAAATATTAGGAAAAAAATGCTTGGCAGAAAAGCCTGTTAAGTTATACTCTGCTGAAGACAGACCTGGCAGAGATTTGCATGCTCTCCACCACCTTCCCAGGGCAGAAGAACAAAAGGTCTAACATTCCCTTACCTTGCTGGAGGAACATCAATATTGGAAGAAACAACTTTTCGTTTTTGCTCAAGGAGACAAATGGATCGAGTGTTTTCTTTCTCATGGTCGATGACTCGGTTGGCTTTTTTGGTATCTGCTGTTTTCACATCTTCTTCCATGGCCAAAGGGAACAAGTGATGAGACATTTTTTTACTAGAGTCACGTTTTAAGTCCTCTGATTGAAACGTGAAGGTCATTTCCCGCTTAATACTCCCCACCTGTAAAATGAAACACAAAAACTGTTACATAAACATCATAGCTTTGCCTGACCATCATGGGAAAGCACTACGGGCACTTTCCTTCATGTCTATGGACAGGAGATTACTGTTTATATGGAGGAAAACTCAAATAACTAGCATTACTACGTAATGTACAATTGATTCAACTGTCCTGACTTAAACAAAAGACATCACAGACACAGAAAATGCCTTCTTTGAAGATCTGAAAGTGGCAGAACCTAACACTTCTATATTTCAGGCTCATTATCATGTACAAAAAGGAAAGTTAAAATTTGTCTTTGACTAGTAATACTGATCTTAGCCATTTTTGTTAATTTAGGAAGTAATCTTTTTATCCCTTATCTATTATAGTTAGGATCTTTAAAAAAATCTCTCCTAAAGCCATATGATGATGAAGTCAGATGTCTTTTTCTTATAATTATTAAACCAAATGCAATGATTAAGACATAAGACTGATATAAAATTAAAGTTCAGTGAATTGATTCCTGTTATGTCTGAATTTGAAGAGAGAGAGAGAGAGAGAGATACTAAATTGAAGAATGGTTTGTTTTTGTAAGGTAAATAGTACTGCCACCAATAAAATTTGGAGAAAACTAGTTCAAGTTCTGGGTATAAGAACAAGTTAGGACTGCTGTAATCTGGAACCTCAGCAATTAATGTAGCATATTTCAAAATATGGTCACCTACAAGACATTTCATACACCATTAGACAACCCACCCCTTCTTGTGTAATTAGTTTGTGGAATACATTTGTAGAATGAGTAATTCTTTATCTACCCACTTAAATAGAAGATATATTTGTTTCTTCTTAATTTTAGCAAAAGACTTTTATCAGATTTAACACAATCCAAAAACCATAATCCTAAAGTATTTTCAGAACAAAGTGAGAGAATTTGTGTTTGATGATAGCAGAATCTGATGTTAATAACTAGAAATTCTCAGACTAAAGGAAAGCTCAGATATTTGTGATGAAATCACAGGACCTTCCTACAGTTGACAATTTCCAGAACCCAGGGATAACTTATTCTTGCTAGCATATGACTTTGATATGAACTCACAGAGCTTTACAAAGGGCTCCATCGCCTCTGCAGCCTGTCCAGGAAAGAAAATCAACTTCTATGATTTTTCTGGCATACCTACACCCAACTCCAGAGGAAAATGTCAGATAGTTTTGGTCCAAATATATCTCATTAAAAAGTCACCATAGTTCAGAAACGACAACACTGCCCCATTTGTTAGGAAATGGAAAGACTTAGAAATAATTATATTAAATAAAGTAAGCCAGGCCCAAAGAAACATAGGTCCCATGGTTTCCCTTATTTGTAATAACTAGTATATGTCTGAGACAAGCAGAAAAGGTCAAAAGCCAAGTACGTATGACAACAGAAGATGAGGCTAAGTGAAATGAACCCCCAGATAGGGACACAAAAGGTTTTATCTTTGATGCTGCTGTTTTTA